ATATAGGAGCTCTGAGCGACATTCGACAGGAATTAGAATGGAATATTTTGGTGAGTATAATTTGGCTTCCTATACTGTAGCTCTTAGAGCTATTAAGAGCAATTATCTCTCTTCAAATTGCCACATTTTCTCCGATTTTCTCCGAAATGCCGTTCAGTTATAATGTTCTTGCTAACTATTCGATTGATGGCTTATGTGGACTTTGCACATCTGCCGCTAGTCGTTAACGGCATGCGCTCATGACCTTATTGGATTACCCTCGTCGTCGTCGTCTGTCTGTTGTGGTAGACTGGGCGAACGGGTGGATGCAGCGATCCACAGGCCCGTCGACGGCCTCGTACACCCTGCGTGTCTAGCCTTCAATGCCGCCATGTCTCGTCTCGTTGTCTGGGAACAAGTGCGAGCGTGTAGGCTAGCCTGGTAAAGGACAGATGCACTAGGGTCAAACGGCTGCCTCCACCCGAATGTGCTGTGACGCGCGTGTGTGTCTGCGCTTCAAAACAATGAGGGATCACCTCGAAGGCTATTCATCGGATGAAAACATCTCAAATGGGGTCATAAGTGATGACAAATCTGTCTGAAGAGAATTTTTTTGTAACAGCGTGTTTAGACGCTAGTTGGGTGGCCAAAACACTCAAAATACTGTCTCCCTTTCCTGTATGGCCCGCTTTCTTTCAACACTAGGGTGCGGAGAAGCTGAAGGAGCTTTAAAAGTGTAATTTGATTGCGGCTCCATGTGCCAGTGTTCACAGGGTCTTTATGAATAAGTTCTGAATTTCTAAAATTCAGCGTGATCAAAAAAAAGTTCAGCAGTAATCAGAGGCCTGAAACAGATGAGGTGTGGGTATCCTCCAGCGGGGTGGGATCGTATTCGGCTACTGGAAGGAGGGAAGGAGTCGTCTTCGGTGCTGGAGGGAGGTGATGGAACCTGTCTAGGAAAAAAAGTTTTAGGTTGTTGACTTTTCTCGGTTCTTCCTAGTTTCAACGCCATTCCCCCTCCCTCCCTCCCCCCCCCCGTTTTTTTGATGTAAGATTTTCGGAAAGCAGCTGAAAGGTAACTGGAAAACTGGAACGGTGCGGTAGGAAGTCAGAAAGTTGGGAAAATCTAGGAAAATAGTGTGTAAATTGGGGGGAGGGGGAGTTAAGAAAGGAGGGTCGTACCATAGAAGGAAGTTTGGGGGATTTTTGAAAGTGTGTTGGGGGTGATGTTTCGCGAATTTTTCCCCAACTGCAGATGCTCTGCCATGGAAACGTAGGACTTCTATGTATCTCTTCGCAGTATTGCTTGTACTGCAACGTTGTATTGTCTCTTGAATGGCAGCAGCTTGCCCCCCTCCCTGACCTCCCATCAACTTTGTGAAGTCGGCTGCTAATGATTCATAGAACGAACAAAGTATTGGGCATGTAGATCCGTGTGGTTAATATTCCAAGTTGGTCATGTGTTTGCACTCGTCATGTGGTTAGAGTTAGGTGGCAGCAAAGTGGTTTCCTTAACAACCAGTGAAATACGACTTTTTATAAAAAAATGCGGGAGAAGCAGACAAATGTTCGAAAATGAGAAATTTCTTGGGGTTTTTTCTCTGCGTTCAACTCCTGGGAAAGTTTGTCGTAAAGGTTGTCAGTCTCCTTGAAGGCAGAGAAGAGTACGTAAGTCTGTGATCCGTCACCAATGATTTCCAGGTGGCAAATGTCGCCTCCAACTATTGAGCAAAGCTTAACTGATCAATTAGTTTATGTTGAGTCAACTTCAGGAGGAAAGTAGAGGAGGTATCTGAGGAGAAGTCAAGTATGCGGTTTTTAAGCTATTGCATTGATAGGTGAGTTGGTAGGCGCAAAGGTCGATGGAAGGTGGCAAGCGGGACATATGATGGCGATGGTGGATCAGCACGACTCCTCTCCACCTCTACTTCTGGTATGGGATGGGGAAGGGGCTGCATCAGATGAAAATCTTCCATGAGGAGCGGTTGTTTTTTGTAAATTTTTCCCCAAGACGTGCTCTGACTCCATTGTTGGACACATGCCCAGGCTCATAGGAGGCTTTGTCGGTTGAGTAAAAGTCGAGAATTCCCTTCGAAAACGTGAATGTGCGCTAATGAATGAACGCGAGTTTGATGGCAGCAGTTAAATGTGCACGTGGTCGTTTTCAGCTTTCCCTGGGGGCTAGTTTTGGTACGTTTATGGGACAGCAAATGGTTTTACGGGTTGAGAAATGTTTAAAGGCAGCTGGCACGATAAATCCTCGAGTCGAGTAGGATTAATACTCCTGGCAGGATGGAAGTCCGCGCCCTGTGCAGTAGCTGCGTAGCGCCTTTTCCAGGAGGGTACCTTTATAAGGCCGTAACGAGTACAGCGAGCGCGCGAGCGAGACCGACCCGTATGCCCACCCACAAATGGAGACCGTACCTGATGCTCGTATTGCTCCATTTGCTAAGTAAAATATGAAGCGAAGGGATTGATATGAAGCGGCCGCGGTGCTGCATGGATATATGAGTACATACATGCAGCCGTACCTACCGTAGCGGTTATTGGCAAGATGCCTACGGGAAACTCGTCCAGGTTGCTTCTCGAGTCAGTAAGAACAAAGGGTTTTCTTCGCAGATTTTGACCGTTCATCTTATTTTTGCCATTTTCCCCACTATGTAGAACCCTGCACCATTTTGGATCGAAACCAAATTATCGTGCCATATGCTGTAAAAGGAAAGGAAAGCCTCTCCTCTCGTTCTTACTGGCTTGTTTATAGTGCGGGGGAAGGAGTCTAATAGATCTCATAAGGTTCAACGGCAGTGACATAGATATAATGTTTGGTCTGCTTGAACAGGGATCACCAGCTGTTGAACATGAGCCATGTTCATCTCTAAAAAGCTTCAGTAGCCAATAAACAGCTCAGCGAGGAATTTGTAGTCTCTGCAGATGTTTTCGTTGTAACATTACCACCTCAAAGTTCGCCCAGCAAACAGCTGATAACTAATGAGAATCGATATGAGTGAAATGAAAACGTTATTAAGAGTTCATTAATGCCTATGTCGAGCTATTGGACATTTCGCTGCATTTCAGTTCCCAGTGAAACGACCTGAAGATTTTGCTCTACTTGGTATCAGTGCAAAGCCTCAAGGCATCCTATTATGTGGACCACCTGGTTGTGGAAAGACGTTATTAGCCAAAGCGGTGGCTAATGAGACTGGCATGAACTTCATTAGTGTGAAAGGACCAGAACTCCTCAATATGGTAAGTGCCTCTAAATAATTAGTCATTCAGCTTCTTCTGCAAGGAAGCTGGGACATTGTTGATCATAGTCATATGAAAGGGTCGATGCTGGGACCAGGGCACGCCATCGTTGTGATCATCACAAGGGGGGGGTCGTATTTGACCGCGAGGGAGGGGGGTCGTATTTGGTCAGAGAAAAATTTTTTTGATAGTTGATTTCTCTTGTTTCACGGACGCTGTAAAGGGGGGGGGGTACTTGGTCATTTTTGGGAGGGGGGGGGTCGTATTTGGTCAGTTCATGGACGCACTACTATTTCCGACACTTGTAGTTTAATTCTGACGACCTCCCCCCCCCCGCTCGACGGCTCGGTTCGATGAGGAAGGACAGAGGGCTGGGAGGGGGGTCGTACCAACTCCCAAAAAGGGGGTCGTATTTTAGTATGGAATTAGGGGGGGTCGTAATTTTCAGAAAATGATCACAACGCGATGGCGTGCCCTGGCTGGGACAATATGAGCATTGCTGTATCATACGTCAACTATAGGCATTTATTATTATGTGAAACTTACTATATTATATTAATTTATTTCTTACTTCATAAAATATGTACAAATAAGGCGTAATAGGATTCTGACGTCGATTTATTTTTACTCTGCTTTATTTATTTATTTTACTTTATGCTTCGGGAGGCTCTAAAACAGTTTGAATGAAGTCTTGCTCGCTGCAGACGCTGAGGCGTTTTAGGGGAAGTGGGCTGAGTATGGCGCGGCGCCAGCCACTTTCCTACCAGCTGTGGCCGTCTGTCAGCTCTCACAATTGGTGGAGAACACGCCGGAGACGCGCCAAACTCGGCTTTCCGGAAACGCCTCCGCGTGCGCAGCGAATAAGACTGTACAGCTTAATTGACACTGAAGCAATGAAACATTATTCAACAGAATACGCCTTGTTCTCGGAAAGTACATCAGGGGGGTCGTATTCGCTCGCTAGGGAAGGGGAAGCCATATTTGCGAAAATTTTAGAGTCCGCTCGATGCGAAAACGGCAGCTTTTACAGGTTGTTTTCCGTTTCAGGAAGATCTCTCCTCTTCACGGTAGGGGGCAGGAGACGTGAGGAGATACCTTCAGATTCCGCTGTTTTCTTTATTTTTCAGGACCCAAACATGAATATCATTAAATTCACTGGTTTGTTGTCAGTTGGCTCCGAGAGATCCATAAGGCACATGTAAGGAACACAGTGCAGTGACCACCAAGGAAAGGGGGGGGGGAAGGGGGCTGCAACTACCTGTTATAGTCCTGTGACGGAAGAGTGAGCTTACACTGATCGAGGACAGTGGCTGCTTGAGCTGCGAATTGCACAAAACAATAGACCCATGATTAAAGCGCATCGTCACATGTTATGAGTCTGCGGGGTGGGGGGAGCCACTTACCGTGCTTGAAAGCGTGGGAGTGTGAGATCATAGCGCAAGAGAGCAGAGGCGAAACCAGGGCACTGACCTTGTTGGGAGGACAGTTTTCAAGTTGCCTGTGGTCAGAAGCCAGCAATGTTTTAAACCTGATTCCTATAAAAACAGCAACAGCAAGGTTGAAGGGGAGTTCTTGCCCTTTCCGTCTAATAACTGTAAAATCTACGTTCCTTGGATCTTTGGAACTTTCTACGACCCTCCCCAAACTTCGGGAAATTTCAAGGAGAGTTAAAGTGCGTAAGGCGTGTTCTTGACTACTTAGAAGCGAGGTGACCCCGATTTCCCGGCCTGAAGGATGATTTCTGAGTGAAGTTGACGTGAATTTTTCTCATGACTTTCTGTAGAGTTTATCTGAAGTTATGAAATTATGCGCGTGTTTCTCTTGGTCCATATTATGTCTTGAAGGGTCTCATCTTTCACGCTCCGTTCGTTTCGAGAAGGTTGAAGAGGAATGCAGGGGAGATGGGCGGGTTCAGGCGGCTATAATAGAGAAGAAGACAAGACTCGTAAAAGCCAAGATATTGCGCATAAAAGGAATCGATATCAGCTGGCTGGCGTTTGGATTTTGTTATTGGGAAGATATGTGGGGGCAGGGCCGGAAATGAGGGTACCTACAACCTTCAAATTTAATGCTTAAATTTCAGATGTTGCGAAAATGCTGAATAACTCGCTGTTGAAAGTCCATGAGACTTTGCTTTTTTGGGTCATCGCTGACAGCAATTGTGTTGACGAAGTGCATGTGTCCGAAGGAAGTGGGTATTGATTCGCACTCGACCCCGGCCAGCAATGGAACGACTTCCTGGGTTGTGAAACAAAAGGCTACCATTTATGGAAGTTTCTAGAGAAATACACTTCATTAGAGCAGTAGCCATTCTAGTCCAGGAATAAGCTAAACGTCACCATGGGGGAATAGCTTGGAAGATCGTTTAGGACCGATCATGGCGTCAGAGTCACGACCAGTAACCTTGATTTTCCAACTAGTCTTCAAAGAAAACTCTTATACAACAAGGGTACTATCTGACAGCCCAGGTTTCTCTGCTGACGTGTGCCACTCATACATCGGCTCCCGGCAGGGAAACCCAGCGGATTCTCCGCCTTGAAATTTGCTGTTAATGCACCCAAGGGAGGGGGGTGGGTGCTAATTTGTCAAGAAGATCATATTACATTGTAGTAGACTCATTCTGTAGAACCGAATACTGGAATACTGTAGAGCCGATCGTTGAAAGACTGTGGCACGGGCTACGTGCAGACAGGGCGCAGCACCCGTTGTGAAAAACTCAACGGATAGGGTCGTAAATTGCTGGGCGGCTGGGAATTTTTTTGATAGCGGGTTTTCCCCATTTTAGGCCGTTGTCATTGGCAAAGTTACAGTAGGGGGTCGTATTTTGGTCGATATAGGAGCCGGTATTTACCCAAATATTACACAGCGCGAGCCATGCCCTGGCCGCAAGTAGTGGCGCGGCGACTGCTTTTACCGTCACAAATTTTGACTACACTTTACATATGCCGCTACGTGATGGAATGTTCTTCTGTGCTAAGGTAGTAAGGAGAAAGAAGAGGAGAGGGAGGGGGGGGGGGAGCCTTGAACTCTCTGCTAGTCCTGCTGCGGAAGACTGAGCACACAGATTGAGGACTATGGTTGTCCAAGCTTCGAATTGCACTAAACAATGAATCCATGAGTACGCGGTGTCGACATAGTGCGGGAAAGAGGGTGAGTGAACCGCTCGCCATTCTTGAGAGCTTGGAACTGTGGACTGTGTGTGGGACCACAACACAAGAGAGCACAGGCGGAACCAGGGCCCTAGCTTGGTTCCGAGGACGGTCTTTATGTTGTTAGCAGATCCGACCCAACCACTTCAGTTTCTTGTTTTAGGTAATATTTGATGAAAATGGAGGGGAAAGTGCAAACAGTGTATCATCGGCATGTGAGAAATACTTTCGTCAGTACAACCCCTTCCTTCCCAACCAGGATGGGTTACGGCCTTTTTTTTACAGCGCACGACAAAACGACTACTAGTTCATCACACCTATTACTTCTCCCAGCAGCCCCACCACCTTCTCGCATGACTAAAGACGGTATTCTGTATGGGATTGCTCGACGACGGTGTACACCATGTGTAAAAATTACGGTAGACAAACCCATCTCACACTGCTGTTTTATTATGATCTAATGCTGACAAAAAAGCCACTGAGCTGAGGCGGTAAGAGCGGTGGCGTAACGAATAGCGCAGTCGCTGGGAAAGCGTGAGGTGCGGTGAAGGTGGGTTGAATCTCACCAGGTATCAAGACTCTAATGATATTAAACACTGGCGATCATGGTCAATGTGGGTTTTACAATAGTATAAAGCTCAAAACATCATCATCGATTGAAAAAAATTAAAAATTGAACTTGGCTGTCTTTTCCTTGGCTCTTTTCGCTTCCACTGCAAAGCTGCATTTCGACATTGTTTACTTTGTTCGAAGCTTTGTTTTGTTATCAATTGGTTTGTCCTTGATTTCAGTATGTTGGAGAGAGTGAACGTGCAGTGCGAACAGTATTTCAACGAGCACGAGATTCATCACCATGTGTTATATTTTTCGACGAGATTGATGCCCTGTGTCCGAAGAGGTCACAAAACGAGGTAAATATTTTCGAACTTTGCCTCGTGCCACGGTGCGCCTAGAGCATTACAACAGGGCATACGGGAAACCCCTAGCTAATGAAAGAAGATTGCCATTGGTAAACAATGGATGAAAATTGGCGATTTTTCCATTGTTTTAGGAGGATTTAAAAAGGCTGGTTATCGAGATCGCAAATTTGCTGTCATTTCTTTATGCCTATGTAGTCTGGAAAGGGATTACATGGACAGGCACTATTTACCCTTTACTGCCCCAATCATCCAGAATTGAGCCAGTTTTTGACCGACTTTCTTCTCCGTGGATGGATTTGGCTCAAATGTTTGTTTGTTTGTTTGGCTCAAATGTGCACGAAGGTTTCGGGTTGAGCGGATGTGATATTCGTGTTCAGGAGGTCAGACTACCCCTGGGAACAAGTTTTCAGCAAATTTGGTGAGTTAGGTATTTTGGCGCCGGTGCCTGTGGCGCGGGCGCGAGGAGGTTCCGTGCCGAGCGGATGTGATATGTTCAGGAGGTCAAACTACCCACAGGGAACAAATTTTTAGCCAATACTGCAGAAAAAAAGCCGGTCAAAAATTGGCTTGTTTTGGAAGGCTGGGGCAGCAAAGGGTAAATAGTGCCTGATGTCCATTTGATTGTAAGTATTTGGCTTGGGACGTAGACGCTTCGTATGTCAGTTTTTGGACGGGCTCCCATTCGCACCCGGCAAACATCCCATCCCTAAGGTTCGTAACGTCTTAAGCTTTTGCGCATTCGTTCGAAATCAAGTAACGTGGGCAGATCGGGGACAGCGGCTAACAAAGCATGGGTGCAGACATGTGAAGGAGGGAGGTGGGGGGGGGGGAGCAGCATATAAGCTTTTTCAAGGAGAAGGAATTCCCAAGTGGCCGAACCACTTATCATTAGTGAAAAGCTAGATTGTGTGGTCACGGCCACAGTTCACAATGGCCATAGAAAGCTACACGGACGAGAACATCTAGAGAAAAACAGAAGATCGACGAGTTTAAGGGGATCAAGTTCAAATTGACCGTAGACCCCATCCCTCCGGTGCCGGTAAATTTGCATCAGGCCGAGCAGGGAGGCTATGCTGTTCTGAACATGGACTGGCTCCTTCAAGTCGTTATTCAGGTTAAATTGCATTTAAAAGCGGACATGATTCTAATAGAGATGGAGTGCCGAGGGATTTCTGAGAAAGAATCTATTATTTCCGAACGCTTTTAAGCTTTCATATGCGTTCATCCTTAAAGTAGATACAATGTGCTAGTCTCTGGTGGTGCTCGCTTGGTGAATCAGCTGTTAACGGAGATGGACGGTGTGGAAGTTAGAAAACAGGTTTTCCTTATAGGCGCCACCAATAGGCCTGGTGAGTAGCTTGTTGTTGATGTCAGTGGTTATATTTCGTTTCCTTTCTCGAAGAGATAAGCGATGATTATCGACAGAGGGGGGGGGCATTTTGTACTATCACTGCTTCCCTTGTTCCGGTTTGCAAATCTCACTTTGGTAAAACTTGTGAACTCTTGTAAAGCTGGAGCAGGATCGTCTAGCCACCATCCCAAAACGTGTCAACTCGAGAAAACGCTACCTAGATGGGTCGACACATCTATGGAAAGCAAAATGCCCCCCCCCGTCGATAAACTGCGCCGAAGAGATGTTTAGTTCGCTTAGCAGTGTGAGTGCGCAGTTGTAAATTTACATCGAAACTCATAGCAATTTGACCTTTTGCAATTTACTTGTTTTTGTTTCAGATATTGTTGATCCCGCTATACTGCGTCCTGGTCGCCTTGACAAGATCCTGTTTGTCGATTTCCCATCCCCGAGTGATCGTGCTGATATTTTGAGGAAAGCAACCAAGGTGACTTTTACATTCGTGTTACAGTTCATAAGCATCTGAGCAACGTTATCACTGCTTCTCAGAAGACGGGGAGGATCCTGTGGCCATGATAGTCAAACGTTCTTGTGTAAAAGAGTCTAGTTGGAGGCTGCGTCCATGACTGATAAACTGGAGGGGATAAGGATAAATGTTAAGCCTCGCGTCGTTGATTAATCGCCTTCTGGGATGCGGCACGCATTCTACTTCCAGTCAGGATCACTCGCCTACTGGATGGTCAGGATCACTCTCTTACTGGATGCTATATGGCATATATACTTGTGGGACCCAGTCGACTTGCAAGTCAGTGTTCCTGTTCTACCAAATTAGGCTTATACCAATTTACAGTTACGGTGGCTGGGCAAAATTTTATTTTTTTCAAGGGCAAGTACGACCCCTCCACAACAACGATGTACGACCCCCCCCCTCGGTGGGATTCCCCTGCGACTCTGAATACTGTTACAATCCTCTCAAGCATGTAAGTTGCTAGTATTTTCATCTGGTAGGATGGGAACGCGGACTTCCGCTACGGCTATCCCCATTGTATTGACCAAATCCAAACAGGATTTAATTTGAAGAAAAATGGGTCCAAAGGAATCGGTCAGCGGCGATGCTGCAGTTTTGACCATCGCTAATTGGCTTGATTGGAGCTTATGGGTTAAAGATTACGAGACGGTTTGGCCTTGGCTAGTCTACACAGCACGGTAACTTCAGTAGGCGAGAAATCATACACCGTAATCCAAAGGGCCGTAAATAAATCTGGATGCACACAAACACAGTATCTCACGACAACAGCGTCAAAATTGGCTGGGAACTTACGTGTTGCGATGCGAAGGTTATCCATAGGGTTAGAACGACTCCTGGGATTAGAACGATTGCATGGAGTAGTGTTCGTAAGTGCTATAGGCGCGTTGGATGCTCCAATGCAGTACATCATTTTTCTATTTATAGATGTACTTGTATAATTGGGTTGCGGCACTCATCGGAATTTCTTATTACATTGCAGTGGAGTTTTTGCACATTACTTAGGCATCTTGTTGATGCGTTTTCCAAATGAAAGTGTTACGAAACTTTCCTGAAAATTGATTAAACTTTTAGAATAAGATAGTTTTGCATGTGTTCTCTTTCACGGACCCCGCATTCATTTAATGCCCCGCTTCATTCCATGTTCGAGTAGTGGTTTAAATTGTCCACATGCTTATATGCTAAGTCAGTATAGCCTCCTTGTCGTGTGGTTACCATTGCCTGCATGCTTCCTGTTGATTACGTGCGATACGAGG